CCCTTCAATGTTTTATTTTGGCCAATTCTCGAATCTCGTGTGGGTTCCAATTTGGAACTTCTAAACATTTAGCCAAGTGGTGCTGCCCCAGCTAGTAATAAAATTACAATTTCAAAGTGACACCTTCTTCTTCTTCTTTTTTGGCGCTGTAACCGCCTAAGCGATTTTGGCCGAGATCAGCAAAGCACGCCAGTCGTTTCTCCTCTGTGCCAACTGACGCCAATTGAAAACGCCAAGTGACCCCAAGTCCTTTTCCACCTGATCTTTCTATCGCAGTGGGGGCCTCGCTCTTCCTCTGCTACCACCAGCGGGTTCCGGGTTGAATACTTTCAGAGCTGGAGCGTCGGTGTCCGTTCAATTCGCTGCACTATGTCCATATCGTTGTAAAGCTCATACAGCTCATCGTTCCATCGTCTGCGGTACTCGCCGTCACCAACGCGTAAAGGCCCGAAAAGACCTTGTAACCTATGCTGAGAAGGCTGATCCCGCGGTAGTTGGCGCGAATGGCGAATGGATTGGGTAGAGCACACTTAAATTCCAGTCGTCGGGCATGCGTTCGTTGACCATATTCTGCACAAGAGTTGATGCATGCACCTTATCAACTCCTCGCCGCCGTACTTGAATAGCTCAGCTGGCAGGCTGTCAGCTCTAGCTGCTTTGTTGTTTTTCAGCCGCGTTATTGCTATACGTACCTCGTCATAGTCAGGCGGTGGAACGTCGACTCCGTCATCATCGACTGCGGGCTCGGGTTCTTCTCCTCCACAATTTCCCGAGCTGCTACCATTTGGTAGTGCGGAAAAATGTACCCTCCATAATTTAAGTACTCTCTGGACATCAGTTACTAGGTAAAAATTCCGTAAGTCGCCTAACTCTCTGGTAAAATTTTCGAGCATTCCTCCTGTCGGCCAGCATTTCAAGCTCTTCGCATTCACGTATTTCGGCCTCTCTCTTCTTATTGCGGGCAAATACGTTCGCTTCCCTCTTCAGATCCCTATAGCGGTCCCACATAGCGCGTTGCGCCCGATCGCAGCGTGGCCCTGTAGGTGGCATCTTTTTTCTCTGCAGCTTCCTGACACTCCTCATCGTACCAGTTATTCTTTCGGGCTCGCTGAAATTCGACTACTTCCTCGGCGGCGGTACTTAATTAGCGGGAAATGTGATTTCACTGCCCACATATGTCGGTTTGTTGAAGAGTGCCCTCTGAGAACAGGTGTGAGAGTCGAGTAGCGAAAGCTCTGGCTGTCTGTCGTGATCGCAGCTTTTCGATGTAAAGCTTTCCTTGCATATTTGGGCGCACATTTTTTGCTGCACAGAGGCGGGTGCGTATCGTGGCTGCAACAAGATAGTGATCCGAGTCGATGTTTGGGCCTCGGAGTGTGCGTACGTCTAAACCACTGGAAGCGTGCCTTCCGTCTATCACAACATGATCGATTTGGTTTCTCGTTTTTCGATCCGGAGACAGACACGTAGCTTGATGGATCTTTTTATGATTGAACCTAGTACTGCATACTACCATCTTTCGGGCCCCGGCGAAGTCGATCAGCTCCAATCCGTTGTCGGACGTTTCGTCGTGTAGGCTGAATTTTCCGACGGTGGTTCCAAAGATCCCTTCCTTGCCCACCCTGGCATTGAAGTCGCTAAGCACGATTTTGATATCATGACGGGCTCGTACGTGCGCTCCAAGCGCTCATAGAAGAGATCCTTGGATGCCTCATCCTTCTCTGCCGTCGGGGCATGGACGCAGATGAGCGAGATGTTGAAGAATCTCGCTTTGATGCGGATTGTGGCTAGACGCTCGTCCACCGGGGTGAACGACAGTACTCGGCGACGGAGTCTCTCTCCCACCACAAATCCAACTCCGAATTTGCGCTCCTTTACATGGCAGCTGTAGTAGACGGCGCAAGGCCCCAGACATTTCTTGTCTTGCCCTGTCCAACGCATTTCTTGGATAGCGGTGATGTCAGCTTTTGTGCTTACGAGGACATCAACCAGCCGGGCGCGGCACCTTCCCCATTAAGGGTCCGGACATTCCAGGTGCATGCCCACAAATCGTAGTCCTTTAAACGTTTGCCGTGGTCGTCATCATAAGGGGGGGTCTCATCCGAGGCTTTGCCTTGCTTCTTCACTGGAAGTGGTTTTTACGTGGCGGGTCCCAAGCCCAGCGCACAACCCATTGCTGGGACGGGGGTGGTTTCGCAACCAAATACACGTTTATATAGCGAGCCGCTTGCTCCAAGCAGACATCCGCTTGCAGCCGCACCTACTGGTGAACAGACGCTGCAGACTTCAGTGTGCCCTTAAACCGAATAAGTCGGAGTGGCCCCACCGAAGCTCCCTCTCTTTCTGCCGTGACCCAAGGCTCCACGTTGCCCAGAGTGCGCGAACGAGGACGCAAGAGTCGGGATTGAGTATAGCCATGCAACTGTAACTACTACTAGAAGTGAATAAACTTGCTTTAATTAATTTTTCTACAAAAAATTATGTAGTTTACACAATGCAATTATTATTGCATTTACAGTTCTTTTCCACACACACCCATAGCCAAAATACATCTTCGCCAGGAATTCACTTACGACATTTACAGTTTCATCAACAGACAGTTGCCAGATTTGCCAAAAAATTATAAGTAATATACTTTACAGCTATAATCAAATGGAGAAACGGATGTGAATAAAGTGGCGCAAATGCACACAAAAACTTTTCTGATTTTTATATCTAGGTATGTATGTATGTGTGTATGCATCTTTGCGAGTATGATTAAGAAAATGTCTCGCATAATAATTGCAAGTAAATGCATTGCATTGCCGACAAGTTGAGTACGTATTTGCCTTTTTTATTTTTTGGAATATAAAATATATCAGCCAACGACCAACTTCGAAAATTAAAATAAAAGGAACTTTAAACTGAGAAAAGATTACAACGAGGCACACTTATACCACACCCACTCCCCATACTATAAACATTTCAGCAGTACCATAGTTACTCCGTCCTGCTCGCATTTTAATAGCGTTGAACGAAATGAAGCCAGCGAAGAGATGGTAGGCAACAAATAATCGACAACTAAAGTTGCTCCATGCCGGTTGGCACTTGAGCGCGCACTCTACCATTTTGTCTCAGCGTGTCCAAGTGCTACGCGCCAAAGTGACTGAGTTTGTCTGCTGTAAGTCTACATTTAAGGTCTGGCTGCTTGTTTGCCCTCCCTCCCCAAACAGACTGCAGCTAATAATGATGCAAATTTTCACAAGAAATCGCATAAAGTGTGCAAACAAAAGATTGAAATTAAAGAAGGAAACCCTAAAAAAGTATATAACAAAATTTAAAAGAAAATTTCAAAAAAACTTAGACCGCCACCTGACACTACTTCGTCAGTTGCGCCTTCACTTGGCCACTGGCTGCTGCATGTTGGCTGCCCCTTTCACTTTTGTTGCACATGTGTGTACACAGTTTGCACTATGCAACTTTGTGGCATATTGAAATAAAATCAAAAAAACAGTGTTTTGTGTAACAAAATTTTGTTTTGTTTTTCCATTTTCCTGCTCGAGAGTACTTTTTACTGGTAAATAACTGCCCGACTTCCTTATTGTTTTCGCCAGTTTTATTATTTCGATTTTGTTTCTTATTTGCCCATTTTATAATGTCTTGTCTTCAAATTATTCCACTCGTTCCGTATTTAGTGACAGTGTTTTTTTTTACTTTGTTTAAGTGCTTGTATGACGCTATCTCCACTATTGGTTAGTTAACTTCCGCTACAACGGTTATCTAGCAATTTTTATATTCAAAATTTTTACTCTTTCTTATCTTGCATTGTCTTACGATCGTTTATTGTTGTTTTTGAATGCACTTCCGCCCTCGTTTCTGTGTCTAGGTACATTTTCACCAAGATAAAACTTGCATTCATTTTCAATTTGTATATTTATGAAGATACCATTTCAACTTTTAAACTGCGCTGACAGTAGGGATAAGCAAGTTGCAAACTTCTTCGTTGTATTTTAATACAAAAAGCCAGAAAGTTTTTATGAATGTACAATAAAAGAGGATTTGTAAAGAGGACTATTTTACGGACGGAGTTAAAAGATATCGTATACAAATAAAATACGCTTTTTTCTATTATTATTAAATGGAAAGCCTTCCGTTTGAAATTAAAAAGAAATACTTTTCAATAACATTGCTCAACGAATCAGTTATAAATAGCTCTCTTATTCTTTTTTACTTATGGAACATTACACATTTCAGTAATACCCTTTACCCTATGTCCGAATAGCTCAGACAATGAAATCGAAGGTGGGTGGTGTTACGACTTAAACCCATTCATAATGAAATTTCGTCCAGGTTTTATACAAAATATTGCTGTCGAAAAAAAAACAGAAAAGTTGCAATATCGTCCGCGGCGGTTCGCTATGGATAAATCTATATAGCCTAGGGCCTTGTTAATTTCGACTTAAACGATAAAGACTTTGACTTCGTTCTGTGGTGACGACCTCAAATTTAGTTTGAATTTGTTAATCCTTGAGCTGGTGGACGCGGATTCTGACTCGGCGGCGACGAAACCATCTCGCAGCAATAACAAGATTGTGCTCTGATGGGGTAAAAGCCCCAGGTTTTGTCTGATGAGGCGTCAGAACTTCTTTTACACTGAAAACAAAATTTCGTAAAAGTGCTACGAAAAACTTTCGTAGTCTTGGTTTTTGTACAATGTACGAAACTTTCGTTCATAATACGAACAAATTTTTCACAACGAAGCAAGATTTTACGAACCATTCGTAAATATAACGAAAGCACTTTCGTAAAGCCTTTTTTCAGTACAATTTACGAAATCTTTCGTTTATTTTACGAAACACATTCGTAAGTTACTGAACAAATCTCTGTACGAATAATTTTGTATATTGTAGGAATTCGCTTCAGTACACATTAAAATCAACTAAAACTAATTTTCGGCATATTATTACCATATTTATTTAATATCCAAAACTAGTAATTGGGAACTCAAAAACCCAACTTACCTCCTTGCACGGCCGTTCATCGGAGAGTAAACGCACGGCGCCACGTCCCAGTGCTTCACGTTTTCTTTGTGCCGAAAATATGCGCAGCTCCTTGCGCTCCTCATCGCTTAGTGATTGACAGTAGCGCACCTACAACAAAAACGAAGCAATAATAGAAATACGGTGATGTGTCAGTAGGTGTGTGGAAAAGGATGAGCATCAGAAAATTGTAGTAAATTTTAATTAAAAATACACTTGCACGTCCTCAACGCTCGCGACAATGCAGTCAAAGTTGAAGACAAAGGCGAAGGCGAAGGCGCAGTCCAAGTGGCAGACGAAGTAACAAATAAAAAGTCAAAGTTTTTTAATCTTACAAGTGAAAAGGAAAAGTTTCGAGAGTTTTAATTTTCACGTTTGCACAATACTTTTCAACTACTGCCGCGGCTCCTCCATAAATAGCCAGCTCTTTTTTCAATTTAATGTCTGTTCAGACACAATGCCACTTTGGATTTCTATTGTCGAAAGCCACAGT